ATATATATATATATATATATTTCTTATTAGTGTATAATTTTTAAGGTGGATAATTTTTAAGTATGTGTGTGAATTGTCGTTGAGTCTTAAACCCAAATTTTTTTTCATAATCCAAATCACTTAAACTTTTATTTGCCGAGGTAAAAAGACTAATTAAGTGATTAAGTTTGCTTTGGATAGCAATACCAGTGCTTCATGTATAAATTGTTAAAGATGAATTGTGCATTATGCACCATAATTGTTATGTTTTCTGGTACTATATTTTAAAAAATATTATATTAGATATGTTAATATTTTTTTTTATCCCAATATTTTTTTTTATATTTTTATTTTAAAATTAAGTTTTATATCAAATAAAAAATATATTTTTTTTATCTTTAATTATTTTTCAAAATTAAAGTTTTACATTGAGTAAAACAATTATATATAAAAAATTATATATAATTATAAAGTGAAACTTAAAATAAATAAACTTTTTTGATGATAACTAATTTAAGATATTTTTTTTATAATAAAAAATTAAGATATTTTAAATTTTAAAGGACTTGTAACAAGAATTATAAAGTATAACGTTATAATACAATTTAATTATGGTTTTATAAAATTTATTAGCAACATTATTATATAATATTAAAATGTTACATAATATGTTTTTTTGGTAATACTTTTAAAATGTTGTCATTAATATATAATATAAACTTTATCTTATATGTGATAAAATGTTGCGTAAATATATTAATAATATTTATTTATAATTTAATAATGTGTTTTTTTAACATTGTTAAAAACATATTTTATTGTAGTGTTTGTGTTGTAATTGTAGTTTAACCTTCATCCCACGTGATACCAGTTTTGCTTTGTATTTGGATCATGATATATACACTTCCATTTTTTTTTATAAGTACACCCCCTTTCTTTTAAAAAAAAAAAAATTAAATTCTTAAAATGTCCTTAATTTTTATATATTTTTTTAATTTTATAATTTTATACTCCTAACATTTAATTTAACATTTTTTTACATACATCTTTCCCTTATTTTCACATGCACCTCCTTAATTTTTCTTCACCCCCACCTATTTTGGTAGGTAATTTTAATTCTTTTAGTTTTACATTATTTTTTTTTCCTTTCTCTTTCAGTTTTCTCACTGATTTCACTATCCGCATAGTACTCTAGAACAGTAAAAATTCCTTTTTTCATAACACTAAACTTAATGTTGAGATTTTTGGAGAGTTGAAAGGAAAGGAAGTGTTGGAAGAAAAAATGTATGTCTAATTTGATAGAAACTATCGATGAAACTACACGTACCTACAATGTTGTCGCCTACGAGTTCTATGATTTGGGTGCATGTGAAAAAGTGAAAGAAGTGAGAAAATAAGAGAATAATACAAAAATCAAGAAAACTAAAACTACCTACTAAAATATGTGAGAAATTAGAAGAAGACAAGATGGTGCATGTGAAAATTGAATAAAAGAAGAAAGAAGATGTGTGAAAAGAAAAAATAGAAAATTAAAAGTTAAAGATGTAAAATTAAAAATTTTAAAACTAAAAATATTATGAATATTTTAGAATTTAAAAAAAAATTAAAGGAGGTGTACTTATAAAAAAAGAGGATGTATATATCATTAGCCTTATATTTTTATGACAATTTGAATAGATTAAGAAAAAGGAAGCCAAATTATTAGAACCGTCAAGATCTGATTAACATCATAAATGAGATGAGTTGGGCTGTAAAAAAATTAAGCCCAAAGATCATTTTAGCTTGACCAGAATTTTCACTAAACGGAAGTGGGCTGCAGTCCATAGGCCAATTTTATTTTCTAATATTATTTTTTTTATAATTATTAAGATAATATATGTTAAATTTAATATCATATATATATATATATATATATATTAATGTCCATTTAATTTAAAGTTAATATTTTATGCATATCGAGTTTTATTTTTAATTTTTTTTAGCATTTATGTATTGTTAAATTAAAATACATTATTTTATTTCTATTATTATGTATTATATTTTTCCATTTTGTAGTATAAATAATAAAATAAATTTTTTATTTTATTTTATAGTGATTAAAAAATATGTATGAACTTTTATAAGAAAACTAATTTAATTAAATGATTTTTAATTTTTTCTGTTTTAAAAATTGACTAGCCTATGGGTTGGCCCATGATCCCCTATGGGATGGATAATGGATTGGACCAAAATATTTTTAGCCCAATGTAAAACTGGCTCAGCTGGACCAGCTTGAAATTGCATGATGGACTAGCTAGAAGGGGTGAACCTGACCCAAATTGACATCTCTACAAATTATACATGTTCTCAGATTTTTCATGACCACCAAACATGTACATAAATATTAGAAGAAGTTTGTTCATGACAATCACAAAAACATATTAATTGCAGGATTTGGGAGGTAGAATATCCCTACAAACTCGCCACATGAATGAATAGCTTATACTTTTTTGGGAGAAGTAGCTTTCCATATAGTTTCTTCCATCAATAAGAATAGGTTCCTACAAACCCTAAATCACTAGACAATGTATCCATCTCACCAGGAGCACATCCTTGGCTTCTGTCCATAATTTCAATCAAGAATGTAGACTTGACAATGGCAAGATATTTCTTGAAAAATAATGTTTCTTTTGTGTTTTTTCTCCGGGAAATCATTTCACCAAAAACTTACATTGAAATTGAATATCTTAAAATTAACTTCTACTTAAACATTCATCACATATATTTAGAGCTATGATAATTCTTAACCCTAAAATGGGGTAAATTAATGTGAAAAGGAGAGAAAAAAAGAAAAGAAAAGAAAAGATAACGTCTAATTGAATAATTACTTATCTATGAACACTTTTAAAAAATGATTTTTTTATAAATTAAAATTAATTTATGCATAAGTTAATTTTTTTAGAATAAATTAATAGAAAACGACTTTTATCAATTAGTTTATGTATAAATTAATATTAACTTATGGAGAAGATTCTTTTTTCCTCTCATATAAGAAGTTTATTCAAACATACTTATAAATCAAAAGAAGTTTATTCAAACATACTTATAAATCAAAAGGAGAAAATAAAAAAATGATGTGATGGAAGATAAAGTGGATGAATATTTGTAATTTCTATATATTTAGGATGCTACGTACTTCAATTTGAATTTTTCATGCAAACGCGCTTTTGCAAAAACCATGCTGTCATCTAAAAAGGAGAATAAATAAATGTGAGATGGTTAAGATGTTCCTAAATTTACAGGCATGTGCTCTATATTAATTGATTGGACACTGCCTCATTAAGAGGTAGGTTCATATATTATACCTTCATCACGAATAAGAAATAAGCCAAATTAATTTCCATTCATTATCACTGAACAAGTTGTTGTTACAACTGACATGTACACTGCATGAAAACTCAATTTCCACGTCATAGCCACAAAATATCATTTATCAAATCATGAACATAAAATGTCCAAATTTTCATCAGGTAAAACCCTTAAGGGTGTATTTAAAAATTCGTTAAAATATGATATTAAATACAAGTTTTATATTTTCTAATACATAAAAAAAAAATACTATGTAAATGATGAATTGAGATAAATGTGAATTCTGTTGAATAGAATTGTAATCAAAATACACAATACAATATCATACTATTATACAAAGAAGGGGGAAAGTTTTTAATTTAATGACAACTAACAGAGTAACACTAATTAAAGTGTTTCAATCATTGAACAGGTCATTCATTATTCATGAGATATGTGAGGTTGTGAAGCAAATATTTCACGCAAATAAAACTTGTCTCATCAATAATAATTATAAACTTCAATTGAAGAAAAGCAGCACAACACACAAAATACCATATAACTCTCCATATGTGTATATTATATGCGAAGTGACCAGCGGGTGCCATATAAACACCTCAGCTACTTTCTAGACCAATAAAATAAAACACTGGCCTTACAGAATCACAGTTACAAGAATCATCAATACACCTATTATGACACTTTATGGTTCTTCTTTTTCTTCCAATCAGGTGATTAATAATAGGTATACAAACATCTTCACTATCTTCTACTTCCATTGCAAATAATGTCTAGAATTGGAGACAGAATTCAAGAAATTATTAAGTAATCCTGCAGGGTGTTGATGGTCTCAACCAATCTCTACATGACATGTATTTAAGTTTTTCAACTTAGGAGAAAAAATTTAAGACACTTGATTACATGTCATGTATGAAATAGTTAAAGACCACATGATCAAGGATTTTCTGATAATTTCTCTTAGAATTGGCCACCTTGGAAGGTTTGGCCAAATTGCCAATTGGATGGTGCCACATTGTTGCTTGTGATAGTTCTGCCATCACTGGTGGTGACTTGAAAAGAGAGGGCTTGTCCATTGAGGTAGGAGTTGCTTTGCCAGTTTTGGCCCCAGTTTCTTGACATGGGTTGCCACCCAGTTCTGGACCCTTTGATGGACACTGCACGCACATCACCAGCACCAGCCACATTGGTGATCAAAACTAGGTTGAAGTAAGAGTGGCCATTGATGGTGAACCTTATTCCTCCCTTTTTCACACAAGGAACCCTATCATCATCACCAAAAGTATAAAGTTTAGTAATTAGTTCAATGCTAGCAGGGTTAGTTCAAAGATAATACTATTAAAGTTCAAGCTTTAGGGCCATAAATAACAAATTATTTGCTATTAGTTTTTGTTAAACAAGAAAAACTATATGTGTTGATAAAAAAAAAAACACATGTATAACTCTATCATTTAAAGTACAATAATTTTCTTCAGAATTTGTTTTTAAGTTTCACTCACTCTTAAGTCAATCCTGATTAATAGTTAAACATACAAGTAATTTAAATATAAATATTTAGTTCTCTTGAAATGAACAACTCATTTTAAAAGATAAAGAGAGTAATGTCGGTTGTTAATAAGAAAATCAACGATTAATATTATGTGCATATATATAACAAATCATGAATCTGTTAAAATATTAAGAGATGAATTTTTTTATAACTATTGAAATTACTTATTTTAGGGGAGTTAAATCCAAATAAAGTATGGTTTATATAAATAAAGTAATTGTTCAAGTCTTTTGAATTTTGAGTTGAGATTAATTTGACATAAAAGGTGGAAGGTGAGGTTTGGTAGGAGCCTTTCATAAGTTCATAGGCCATGTGCTAAAATGAGAGTAAGTAGGCTTTTAAGTTGAGATCAAGTCTTTATGAGGTTTTCAATGTGAATTATTTCAACATTTAATCTCTTCACTTTATAAGTTAGGTAGCATTGTTGTTGTGTATGAATTAAATGTGAGCTTTAATTAAGCTTGAAAGCATTGCAAAATTCATGCTCTAATTACCTTCTAAAGGCCACAGGCACAATTCCAGCTCTGTATTCAGCAATTTGAAGGAAGGCAGGTTCAGCCATATCAAAGTGTTGCAAAGGAGGGTTGCACCAACCACCATTGTTGTTAGGCAAAGATGGGTTTGGTGGACAGAAGTTAGTAGCAGTGACAGTAATTGATCCAGGTTTGCACCATCTTGGATCATCATCACATCTCATTTCATAGCATGACCCACAGCTTAAGCCATTGTTGAACAAAGCAGTGCTTAGAGCCACAGTGTCAGTTCCATAACCCTGGCTATACAAATTTCCATAACCACATGCTCCACCTGCATGTATAAAAAAACAAAAAGTATACATATCAACTCCATTATCTCAACTTTCAACAAACACACTCTATTATTATATAGATGTTCTATTTTAGTTTCTATAGATATTATTTTTTGTCATATATTTTTATAGGAACCAAAAAGTAAATTTTATGAAATTATAGGAATTAAAAAAGACAAAAATAATACGTATAGAAATTTAAATAGACTATTTTTAATTAAAGTGACTAAACAATAAAATTTATAAATTATAAAGATTAATAGGATAATTAAATCTATAAAGAGAAACAAGACAAGAGTTTCTCAACAAAGTTAAAAAATTAGTGTTGACTGATGTTTTACTTTTCCTCAGACACATCAGAGATATACAGGTAAATCAATTCCAGAGAACATCAAATAACTGAAACACTTTTGATATGTGACAATATATTCATCATTTGAAAAATAATCCAAAGTCATTAATACTCATAAAACTTAGTTATGAATGTGTTGCTAATGTCGGCATGAGTAGATAGTAGCTAGCTAAACGAGTAGCTAGCTTAACTAATGCAGGCCTAGTTCAACATATTCTCTCTCCTACTAAAGTTGCACCTCTTGGCAATATTTATATTGATAAAAAAGAAATACAATGGAGTGAAATGTGATGAAATGATATTATATTTCATTGTTTGGCTTCTTTATAGTAAGATGCACGGAATAGAATTTGAAGGAATACATTTCATGCAATTTTTTTTCTTCTGATTTGAGAGTCTGAGATGGAACCACTTTTCTATTTTATCATAAACATATAAAAACTTGCATCCACTTCATTTCCATCCATCTCATTATCTTTGGCATTTGATAACAAAACATGGAAAATGATGTGTGAACACTTTCATACTAGTATACATCCACAAAAAGAAAGAAACAAATAACAGAAAGAAACGGAAAGAAATGATTAGTGTTGATAAAATAAAAAATATATATAAGATCATACTCATCTTGCACATTTCTATTCTTTTAAAAAAAATTCAAACAATTAATCATGTTTATCTCAATGTAAACCATTAATCATATAAACAAGTGTGTTTTGAACATACGAGAATAACTCATGCAAAGACATGTGTGCTCTAAGGAGAAAAGAAAAGAAAAGAAATGGAAGACAAAACTCACCCATTGTGCCAGAAGCATCACCCCCACCATAGAAAGTGGCATGAGCACTCTCCCAACCACCATAGTCAGCAGTAACACCTTGCATGTTCATGTCAACAAAGAGAAGAATGAGAGTCAGAAAAACAATGGAAAGTTCCTTTTGTGCCATTGTGATGAGGCCTAAACAGGGGAGCAAAACAGAGGAAGGTGCACTTTTCTTAGCTCTGGTCTGCTGTGAGGTAAAGTGCTTTAAGGGGGGCCTCTATTTATAAGGTAACATCTTATTACTAACATCCACATAAGCGTGGTTTTCTCCAAAAAGCCACAGAACAAGTGACAAATCAAATGCACATGCGCTGGTTCTAGTTGGGGTTCCCAACCGCTAATATTGTGGGCCATACCTCTGCACATGCAACCCCAACTATCTTTCTTCCCAACTTTATACACTATAATGTTAATATATTGTGGCCAATAGTTTTTCCGCATTTCTTTCTTTTATCAAATTATTATTTCTTTCAACAAGTATTAACAACATACTCTTTAACATATAAGAGTATATTTTTGTTATCTGAAACATTACAAGTAATTTTTATGAGAAACAATCATGTTTGAATTAAATAAGATCATTATGAGCGATAAAATTTTTATTTTGAATATTTAATACAATTGTATACTTAAGATTTAAGATAACAAAACTCTTCTTTTAAACATTTAACATAGTTATATACTAAGATTCGAAATCGAAACAACTTATCAAGCAGAAATAACTCTACACTAGTTGATTTAAAAAAACATGTTACTTGTATTTATTTGTTTATTTATATATAATGGATAAATGGATAAGAGCTTAGACATGATTAGGTTGTGCATGGTGTGAAGAGTTCCAATGATAAAAGAGTCAAAAGCTAAATTGCAGTTTGGAATTGAAATCGGTAGGGTCTTAAGGAAATGATAAACAGTATCTTAGCACATGGAGAAGTATCTGTCTATCTGGGCAAAATCAAAAGTGGAAGCTACTCAGGACATTTGCATTGCATGGTGCAACTCCCCTTTTCCAATATTCAAGAGTCTATGCAATAGTATCTTCTCTGTGCTTGAAAATGTGCCACGTAAGAAGGATTGCAAGAGCGTGCCATTTTATTTTATTTTATTTATTTTCAGTTCTTGAATATAATTGAAGAGTTTGGTTGATAATTTAATAGAAACAGCCTTGCTTCCAGTTGGACAAACAAACTGTGCATGGTAATTGGTAGCCCTTGTATGTGTCTGAGAGAGATGAACTATGTTAATTACAAAACCTTTCCCTCTGAGAATTTTTTAATTTCATTTAAGTGTGAGCTTTCATTTGGTGGAAGATCATGTCCAAATTAGGTGATGCATAAATTACATTCACTAATTGATTCTGTGTTTGACACAAAAAAAAAAAAAAACATGTGGGCAAAAAGAAACCATTAAAAACCTTTTTTTAATTTGTCATATATGTGTAAATAAATCATCAGAATTTACTTAATTAATATGAATGGAACTAAGACGGGAAAAAACAGAAGGGGTAAAAGTGATAAATGAAACTAATAGCTATTTAAACAGTAAACCGCCAAAAAAAAGAAGAAGTTATGTACAATAACATATAAAACAAAAGTGTTATTATAAATAAAATATAATTTATTTAATATATATTTATACATAATTTTAATATTGATTTTAAATAAGAATCAACCACATATATTATATATCACTATAATTTATATCGATATTTTTTAATAATTATAAAAATATAATTATAGATAAAAATAATTTTTAATAATTCACTATATATGTTACTAATATTACAAGAAATTTTACATGAATATATTTATTTAATTACAATTACACATAATTTTAATGTTAATTTTGAATGAAACTTAATGATATATTTTGTATCATTATAGTTTATATTTACATTTTTTAATAATATATCAATATATATATTATATTTATTATAAATATAAAAATAATTTTTAGTAATAATTTTTATATCACTATAAAGTATATGTCATGACAAGAAATTTTCTTGTAATGTAAAAAAATAATTTCTTTTGGTGACATGAAATTAAACAAAAAAAATGTATCTGTCTCTTTTCTCCCTTATTGGGGACAAGTCCTATTTCCTTGGTTTTTTATTGGCTGTAAGTTTAATTAACCAAATTAACATTGAGATATGGAAATTTTGAATTTAGACTGTTCTAAATTTTATAATTGTATTGAGACAAGGGATTCTTGATCTTGTCTGACAAAATGTTTCACGAAGATTCTATCATATCTGGTGTCAGCAATATGTTCATGTAAGAAAAATGAATAGAATAGGAATCTGGAGAAATTGAGGATATTTTAAGGATCTTTATTTTTCTTCTATGTCAACAAGTTCATACTTCATTGTTAAATGTGTGTGTTTCTGAATTTTCTATGTATAAGAGGGTTCTTACTCAAATGATGAATTAAATGTGCAGTGACACATGGATGGGGCAAACATTGTGGATATGTTTAGCTGACTTAGTTGTGTTATGGTCACATGCAATGCAATGACCAGAAAATAGTATTATTGAATATGGTTAATATATGAAAACCAACATTGCCGACCCTAAACTAACCATTCCAAAACAATATAACATGCCATTTTCAATATCACTCTCATCATTTTTTTTTAATTCTTTTTAAAGATCACATAACATTATTTTTCATTGTCTGGGGAAGGATCGGCTTCAATATTTTTAATAACATTTTTCAATTTATATTTATTATAATGTTACTGTAAATTAAGTTAATAAATTATTGTAACAATTTTTTTCTATAAAAAATGTTACTTATCACAATATTATTCTTTCTATGTTTTTCTAAATTAATAAAGTCTTATATCAAGTAAAAAAAATGATATATAAAAAAATATACTTCTTTAATAATATTTAATTATTTCTTAAAATTGAATAAAATAATAATACATAAAAAGTATACATATCTATAAAATAAAATTTAAGATAAGTAAATTTTGATATGTGATAACTAACTTTTAGAATATTTAATTTTTTTTTATATTATTAAAAACATATATTGTTATAGTGATATCGCGAGTAAAAGAAGTTGAGTTTTAGAAAAATAAAGGATATGATTCTACTATCTATACCATCCATGCACTTTGAATGATATCATTGGTAATGTGTATTTATTTTGTTGATATCCAATCATAGCAAACACGTTCAAGGTGCATAGATACACCCCAACTTATTTAGGCTGTCTTAGAATTTCTAAAAAAAATAGTTCAAAAAAGATTATGAGTTTATTGATATTAAAATTGTTTTTTTATTTAACCGAAATCAAGTTGTTTGTTCATGTCAAAACATTAATTTATGAGACTATTTGGCCTGACGTCAAGAATGAAAGATAAAGTAACTTGATTCAAAAAATGGATAATTTTTGTTGCTTTAGTATTCAAATTATATACTAAAACGTCCAAAATTCATAACCTTATACTATATAAGTGAACCTTTTCTGTTCAACAGCATCTTTTTTATTTATTAGTTAGGTAGTTCAGTTAATTATTCATATCATATAATTATTCACTCAAAAAATAAATTCATATATCATATGATAACGACCGACAAAGTACCGGTGGCTAAATTTACTCAGAATAGTATGTCTAAAAATTTCCTTTGAGAATACAAAACTATAGCTTCCTTCTATTTCAAAAGCTTATTTTTTTCTTTTCTTTCTTTACTTTGATCAATTTATTCGGTTATGTTATTAGTTAAACTGTGCTATTCTGTACATAACGAAGAATTAAAATAAAGCTAGGACGGTTGCTCTTAAAGTAGCTAGCTAAGCTTCACCTTTAATAATGGAGTAACCAATTTGTAAACGAGTTGATTAATAATCAATAATCAATTTCAAATCTATATATATATAAAAAAAAAAAAAAATTCTCTTCATACGGTGTCTCCAGTTTACCGGGTCAAATTTTAATATTGTCATGATATCCACACAGTAGGAATTAATTAAACACGAAATTTTGTACAAAATAAATTGTTCTCACAATATTTAAACACAGAATATTTAATTGCTAAATTATATATATTAACTCATCCACTTTTTTACAAACAAAATAATGGTGGAAGGAAGATCACGTGATATATTTTGAAATTAAACTATAATGCTTAAATGACATTGACAAGGACAGTGCAATGGCTATTATTGCATAACAATGCTTTGGAGAGTGTCATATTTGCTTTCAAATCAATAAAGGAGAAAATAGCTTCTGACCGACTTATGTGGGAACTCTTTCACATATTTGTCATATCATTTTCATGGTAACAACTTCCCTTGATAAGGACAGAAGAGAAGTGTGAGTTAATCTCACATGGATGCTTACACTCATGAACAAGCAAAAGAATTCTATTCATCTCGTGTTTCGTTTTTCCTTTTTCTCTTCTTCCCCTCCCCATCCCCCTCTTTTTTTTTCTTCTTCTTTTTAGGATGCACTAAGAGATATCCCACACACATGTTCATATTTGATATAATATTATTTATTTTATACCTAAACTTTCATGAGTTCAGAATAAAATTGAATTTCCATCGACTTCCTTATTATATTTTTCTATGCATTAGGATTTACATAGCTTCACAATCGACGTAACTTTTTAGGTTTGTTGAAGGTGCCGTTGTTCTGTTTGATTTTCTATTTACTCTACTTTGTTCTTTGTTGAAAGTAATAAATGAATATGAAATTAATAATAATAATTGAGATAAGAATGTTCTCTGAATCTCTGTGAACACTTATGCGGACCTTATGAGGAGTATTTATGACATGACCATGGAAATATGGACAAATGACATGAGACCTAAGAATGGACTATGAGACCTAAGAATGGACTATTGAGACAAACTATGATTATGAGACTATGACAAATGAGGACATGATGTACTAAATGAAATTCTGTAATAAGTTAAATGTTGAGTTAATGAAATAATGAATGTGTGACATGCATCATATGCATATATTACTCCAGGTGTGCCGCTGAGGCTGCATACCAGTGATGTAACTTGCTAACGAGGTGTACCTT